CGCCCGGGCTGGACGCGCCGCCGCCGGCGCCTCGCCTGGCTGCGCCACTGCCCCGCCGTGTCCTTGCGTAGCCGGGGCCGAGCGCACTGCCGCCCCCGCGACACCACCTGGGCGTGCCACTGCTCTGTTGATCCCCGCCGGGCGCACTGGGACACTCTCTGAAACCGCGTCGATCCTCACATCCCCCGGCCCTTTCACGCTCACTCCGCCGAGGGCGGAGATGCCCGTCATTCCGAGAATCATGTCCACACCCATTGGCCGCGACGCCACCACTACCACAGGCAAGACACTGTCGCCACCGACGCGGCCAACCGTCACGACTCCCACGCCTAGTGCCTGAACAGCGTGACCACCCATTGTCGTGATCAGCAAGCGCTGCCGGTCCCACTGATCACAAATGTCCACGTGAGCGAGGTTATGCGTACAACCCGTGTCGACAAGCACGTCTCGGAGTCCTCCATTCAGCGGCAACCTGATTATGGGCAGCGCTCCTCTTATTGCGCAGGAGACGGCGCTGGCGCTGACGCACCGCTCCCTGTGCCGTTTCCCTGCGGGCAGCCGGCCGCCAGGTGGCCCAGCCGGCCGCACGCCCAGCACCGGCGCGAGCGCGGCCGTCTCGGGACGCGCGCCGCCATCACCGCCTCCGCGTCCTGCGTTCCACCGCGGTTTCCGCCCCCTCCGCGTGGAGGCGCTGCCGTCGCCGCCGCCACCGTTGCCACGCGGTCGTCACTGAGGACGGCGCGCGCTCGCGCGACCACGCTGGGAAGGTCCAACGCCTCGGCGCGCGAGCCGGCGCGAATCACCTGTCTTGCCGCGTCCGGCAGCCCGTTCACGAATGCACAGGACAGAGTCCGGTCCGGCACGCCACCGAACAGTTCAGCCAGCCGCCGCAGGTCCGCCAGGTAGACGTCGGCGGACTCGCCCGGCTGAAGACGACGAGTGACGAAGGCATCGTAAGCCGCGAAGCTGTCCAGGGCGAACGCCGCAAAGAGGGCAGACTTGACGGCTGCCAGGGAGGCTCGATGATCGACCGGCAGCTGAGCCCACACGGCGAAGGCTCCACCGGTGAGACGCAGGGGGACCACCGCTCCAAAGTCCACGCCACGGTGGGCGCACAACAGTTCCGCGCGGGTCCACCACTCTACCACGTCTGTGGTGCCGTCAAACTCCGCTATCACGCGGACGTCCAAGGCACCCGCGCTCACTGCACTCGCGGACACTGATGGCACCTCGTCTCCAGCCATGGTAAGGCCGAAATAGCTTGTATTCGTCCGATAGCGCGAAACGGGCCACTGCACACGCGAGACGGGCCACCGCACACCCCCAGTCACACAGCGCGAGAGGCCACCCGGTCCTTCCGTCCCCAGACCCCCTGTCGTCCCGCCTCTGACAGTGAGGCCCGGTACAGTCCGGGGCCCGGTACAGCCCGGACCAGGTACCGTCTCTAACATCGGCGCCGGGGACGGGATACCACGACCCCGGTATCACGCCACACCGTCCCCAGAGACAGACCACCAAGCTGAGCTTACGATCACCCAGAACAGTGGCGGATCCAGGGGGGGGGGGAATGGGCATTTGCCCCTCCCAAACGGCATAATTTTAACATTACGCCTATGGACGAGGCATGCAAAGAATCGATAAATTGTTATGGTTTGCCCCAGGGGTGTCGTTTTCCGAAAATGATTGGTAGTGCCCTAAGGCGGCGGCTGGCCATATATGACGGGGCTTACAAGGTAGGGTACCCCCAAATCTGCCTTTCTCATCGGATTTCGGCCACTTATTTTTCGCCCTGGTCATTGACAAGACTAACCGAAATCTAAAAAACACAAAAAAAAAACTTTGGAAATCTGGGTCCACACCGGACGCCATGCACAAAACGTGCAGTTATATAGGCAATAGTGTCGGAGGAATGCACGCCATTCTGAAAGAGGCCCACATCGACTTAAAAGGACGGCTGTGCTGAAAGGGGACAGGAACAGCTTTGAGGGCCCAAGCCGACTAAAAAAGACGGCTGCGGGGCCAGGAACGGTATTGAAGACCCACGCCAATTGAAGGGTTCGACAACTAACGAGGACTGGAAACACAACGATAGTTAGAAAGACCTGCTTGCCAAAATAAAAGGATGACAGTACGAGGGGCGTTCAGAAAGCTACGGGCCCGACCATGAAGGAGCAGAGAGATACAGCATAGACTCATTAGACCAAAATGTTCATTTATTCAAATAAACACCGTTAAGACAAACACATTTCGCGCAGCGCTTCGCGAGAGCCCTCAAGGCCTCCATAACCAAGTGGGTTTTGGACCCATCCTGCACGTCCAAGACGGCTGATTTCGTCTCCCTGCTGTTAGCGAGGTTGCCGCTGCTAATTTTCTTATGTTGGGGAAGAGGTGGCAACCACTAACCAGAGTGTGCAAGGTTCGGAGAGAAAAAAAGTGGATGCGACAACAACTCGAAGCTCATCGCTTCACTGTTCGTCATCCCGCCCATGTACGCAGGTGCGTGGTCGCGGATCAGGTGCACACTTTACGTCAGCTTCCCTATGGCCTCTCCTCGATGTTTATCGAATGGACGCACATCATCAATTGTGTGCCCCTGTTTTGGAAAGTTGACGAGCGGAGGGGGGTCGCATCGACCCCTCCCCCTGCCAGGCCGTGTTATGAAAAATGCCCAGGGCGAGGGTTAACGCTTGGTGCCTTTTCTGCACTAACTACTATGAAACGAATCACTGCTCTCTTCTGGGCGTCGCCCATCCTATCCGAAATGGCGAACTATGCTACGAATAGAAGCCCGAATCAATCACAGAAGAGACTTAATTAATGGCCACTTACTTAATTTGCGTAAGTGGACATCCCAATAACACATCATTTAACACACCGCCTTGCAGGCCAAAATTCCAACTCCTTCATTGTTCGGCCCGAAACTTTTTGAACGCCCCTCGTAGTTACGAGCTTCAGTTTTCGGGGTCTGATGCGGTAATGACCTGGCGTTGAACCCTGGGGAATCAGGCTGCATCACCCACTCAAATCCTATGGCCTATTCTGGAGCACCGCGGCACCTTCCGAAGTCGGTGTAGGGCCTCCAGCGGCTGGTGTGGAGACGGATCGGGGTCTATTAGGGGCGGTCGCGTGGTATGCGGGACTCAGGGGCAGTTATGGACCTCTATAACCAATTGCGTTTTCGAGCCTCTTAAAATCCATTAAGGACCGGAGTCCTAGACACGTGAAACCTCATTGTCAGCTACATGCACCTACTGTGGCTAGAACCTTATTTATGTGCTTGCATATGTGCTTATTTAATATTTGCTTATCTGTTTATTTTGATTTTTTATCAACTGATAAGTGACAAAAGACTGGTAATTTGGTAGGGCTCAGCGAACATTGGTAGGGCCCAAATAAACATTGGTAAGGCTCGGGCCCTACCAGGCCTATACAAAACGACGCCCCTGACTATTGTGAAACTTGGTAGGTAGGTAGGTAGGTAGGTACCACATAACTTGAAATTACTTGACGTAATGACATGATGTGGAAAGTGAAAATGATACCTAGGTATTGATGGAAATTTATGGACTTAGGTACGCTACAAGAAGATTGAATTGGTCAACCAATTCAAATTCAATCTACTTGTGGAGTAAGTCTATAGATTTTCATCAATAGTTACCACTTACCATTGAAGTTACTTGCTATCATGTTGATTTTATACATAAGAACCTCATTCATTTTATTTGTATGACATGTTTGAATGCAATTTTCTCAATAAGTGAAGAAAAATGTTGGTAGTGCTCAACAACACATTGGTAGTGCTCAGCTGAACATTGGTAGTGCTCGGGCACTCCCAGGCCTATACAAAACGACGCCCCTGGTTTGCCCCCCCCCCCCCAACTCTGAGCTGGATCCGCCTCTGACCCAGAATGGGAGCCTCAGCCTGGTTCATTACGATTCGGAGCTACTCTCGCCGCACACCGGTGACCGTCCAACCAGAATTCTACTCCGGCAAGATACTCCGGATGATGACTGGGATTTGGGAAACTGACCCTGATTTCGTCAACGACGTCAGCGAGCAGGAACAAAGATGGACGTTGCGTAGTGAGGACGACGATAGGTAGAAACAACAGATTGACGCCCCGAGGACAGAAGCAACAGATTGCTACGTAAAGGAGAATATGCGAGACACGCAGTTAGGTTGCCTGAAAAGACGAAATGTAAAGTACTGCTGAGCGAAAAAAAAGATTGGTATCGTAAACAAAATAAACACGTGAAAACAGTCACAGGTAGGTAATCGGGTAAACCAATGTGCTCAATGTTTCATTTACCTACGCATTTGTTTTTTATGTGCTCTGACACTTCGCAGTGAAAATTCGTTAGCCCTTTCGCTTTGGCCGCCCCCCCCCCCCAGTAGTACCATTTTTACCCTGAATGAGGGGCAGGCCGGTGACTGCGGGGGTTTGCCCCCCCCCCCATTAACATGTTAGACGAGGCGCTGAAACAAGAAAGGGTGCACAACCAAAACCGCCTCGCCTCGATATTGATATGTCACGATCTTCACTTGGCCAAGCTCACTCTGAATCAGAACCTACCTGCTTTTCTAATCAAAACCAAAATATTATGTAAAGGAAAACGATTGCGTTTTGAAAATAGTTAGCAATTCAAGTAATAAAATAATCCATCTTTTTTGTTTTCGGTGTCGTAATAACATTTTTAATCGCCTACGTTTATTTAGCGACATCGTTTTAGAAAGTTTTGACGCAGTTGATTCGAAAACTGCGCAAATGTTTTTAGTGTTCGAAGATATAAGGGTAAGCGTTAGACTGCTAACGGAGTAAAAGTTTCTGGAATTTTCATTTGGAAAAATAATATTTTTATATCCTCAAAAGATTGCCTGAAAAGTTTATTTCTTTTGAGAAAAGTATAGCGTACTTAATTTATATATAAGCGCTTTCCTCTTGCATTGCATTTGCGCACGCACTCGCTACAATGCGACTGGACTGAACACGTTTGGTTATTTACAAGAGTGACGTTTGATGCGGTGTTGGGTGTGACGGGTGTGACGCTCCTGTCTTCTCTCTTCCGGCGCGAAGTATAAGGCACTTGTCCCTTTTTAATTTTGATTTGACGAGGTCGAAACGTACGCTGCTAACAATGTGGCAGGCTACAGTTGGTCGAGATGTCAAGATCCAGCAAGATACTCCGGATGATGACTGGGAAACTGACCCTGATTTCGTCAACGACGTCAGTGAGCAGGAACAAAGATGGGGAAGCAAGACAGTCGAAGGATCCGGAAGAACGGCAGGAAGTATTGAGTAAGTTATTTCCATATTTATAAAAATGTTGCGTTTATGAGAATTCACTTAATATGACAGTACGAGTTAATCTTAAAGCCAAGGGTTCATCCAAATTCCAATCCAAATTAGGGATAATCATTTCTCGGTATTCAAATTGATCTATTTAACAATAGGGGACTGGCCAGGACAGCCAACTGTGCTTTGGGTGGCTCCACCTCTTTTAGTCCATTGATAAAACATTTAGCTTGGATTTATTCAAAAGCATAGATAACATGATTCATGTTATCTATGCCAAAAGATATGGTTAAGCTAATCGTCTGGAATTTTTCTCAATTATTTTTGACTGTAGTGAGTCAGAGCTATTTGTTTTCATGTCTTACTCAATTCATTATGTCAGCTGGACAACCAATGTGCTACTGACTGAATGTAAAACAATTCAATACCTATTCAATTTGTTTTATTAGTTAAGCTGATTTTTTTTGAATAGCCACTTAAGTTTCTATTTAAATGATTTTTTTAGCGTTTTCTTTGTCAATCTTGCTTACAACATTTGCTAAGCTTACAATATTCCAATATATATGTAAAATAACATGCAATATCCTCACACAATATTCAGTTTTTACTCTGTTCACTATTGATTTTCAGTGAGGATTTTCTAGCAACAGCTGGAACACGTTAAAGACATATTATGGGATAATGTTGTGCAGCCTAACCTAACCTACCTACATAGTCCATGATCTGATGTTTCAGCATGAAAAAGCTGAGAGAAGAAACTGAAAGGGCTGATCAGGAGTTGAAGAAACAAGTTGGACCAAAAAGTTCCCATGGATATGGAGGGCAGTTTGGTGTGGAAAAAGACAGGTATGCTTACCTAAAGGTGACAGATCTCTCCCTCAGTTTCTCTAGCCTTCTCTAGGCCCTTTCCCTCCTCTGACTAATCACTCTTCTCTCCTCTCCTCTCTCCCCTCTCTCTCTTTCTCTCTCTTACTCTCTCTCTCTCTCTCTCTCTCTCTCTCTCTCTCTCTCTCTCTCTCTCTCTCTCTCTCTCTCTCTCTCTCTCTTTGTCTCTTTCTTTCTCTCTTTCTCTCTTTCTCTTTTTTCTCTCTCTCACACCCACACCCACACACACACTCCAGGGTGGTGTCACAAGTGTTAATTGAGATGTAATATCCCCATCCCTCATATTATATCAACCTTTCCTGAAGCCACTGGCATACAGTTCCTTCACCAGGCCTTGCAACAAGTTCCTAGTTCCAAACCATCTGGTCTAACTAAAAGAAACCAATTTGCTTTTGTCGTTTATGTTGATGCATGTGAGCTACTAAAGTTATCCAGGAGGATTAGGTGAATATGGTGGTGTGGCCACACATTTGCTTTTGACAGGTCGGGCAGTGGCCAATGGCCTTGATGTTTAACATGAGCTCGAAATTTGAATAATTGGTTTGGTTTGGAGGCACCTCAGAAGCCTCTTTTTCCTGTGTTATGTGGATTGTAAGCTGAGGATTCCTTTCTTTCAAGTATTTTTAATTGAATTTATTTAGAGAAACTCGAGGGGACGTGATCGCCGTTTGAGTAGCATGGATCCATATCATCATGGTCTGATGTCCATATTCTCATCCCGGTCTGCTGCTGTATCACTAGGATGGACAAGTCGGCTGTCGGCCACGATTACCTGGAGAAGGTGGACAAGCACGCCTCTCAGAAGGACTACTCTACGGGCTTCGGCGGCAAGTTCGGCGTTCAGTCAGACCGTCAGGATAAGTCGGCCGCCGGCTGGGATCACGTGGAGAAGCTGCAGAAACACGACAGTCAGAAAGGTGGGTGCTGCTCGAGAGTAGACGCACCGCCTGCCGGTGGTTGGTATTTCGGCTGTAGAGATGTATAGTTGGAAAGAGGGGCTTTATTTGATTCTTCCATTTAATTTTGTATATATTTTAATGGTAGTGTATGCATCATTTTCAGAAGTGCATGTTGTGGCTGTAGATGCGTGTTTATTCATTGTTTTTGTTCGCTGTTATATGTATTGATTATGCTACGTGCTTCGTAGTTACTTGTTTTAAATTTTCAAGGAATATGAAAGGCTCTCTGAGGGAGTTTCATGGTAGTTTCGGGAAGTTTAATGTTTTAATATCTGAATTATCATAATTGTTATTTGTGTAAATGTCTATACTTCTCATTATGTCTATACCATGTCGCTTTTGCCTGTTGAATAGGTATCTTAGTGCCATGTATTGGTACTGTATATACGAGTATGTGTCGCGATGTGTTGTTGTTGAGACTGGATGACACTCCTGACCTTCTGAGACCATCCCAGACTACAAGGCGGGCTTCGGCGGTCAGTTTGGCGTGCAGAAGGACCGACAAGACAAGTCGGCCGCCGGATGGGACCACGTCGAGAAGGTCGAAAAGCACTCGTCGCAGATCGGTAAACTCGCCCTTCCTGTCTGGCTGGTGTCGTCTCTCTAACAGCTCGTTTTACCACTGGACCGGTTGTCTTTGCTCGTCTGCAATTGTCCGTCTTTCCGCCTAACACCAGCGTCGACAGGCAGAGGATTAGATGGCTCGCGTCTTGTCCAAGTTCTTACCAGGGACCTGTCAGGGACCTGTCGGGCTGCAGGGCGGACGTCTCCGGTCTGCGTGCTATTATATACTCACCTCTACGTACCCCTGTTTGCTATTTCATCTCACCCACTGACCTAGTATAGTCTACTGATCTCTCTCATTTATTGACACTGAACTCCCGTATAATGTTTCCTCTTACGCTACCGGCGTTGTGCTACTTGGCGTTAACTGGACACCTGTTATTTACTAACGCGCAACTTGAATGATTTTCTCCTAGTGCAACACGACTCCTTCTTCGCTTTGATGGAGCTCAGACTTTACAGGTGTGTCCGTCCTCCGATTTCTGTCGTCTCTAATCACAGCTTTTTAGTTGTAGCTCCAATTACAGTGTAATGGAAACAATAACAAAAGGCGTTCTCAGCTGCATGCTACTGACAGCGATGGCCTCAGCTTTCGTTTGCTCTCGTGGAGTCCGGGAGGTGCTACTGGAAACAAAACACCGCATCTGCTTCACGTTCTCCTCATTCCTGGACTTGCTTCGGATTGAGCACTCCATATGCCGACCGCACAAACTAACGCGGGAAACTGTGGTAGATAAGACTCCGGTATGACTAATTTGTTCTGTCCCTTCTTATCAATGCATTAAATATTTGTTACTGGAAAATACTATTGTTGGATTATTGATATTGTCGACTTGAAAGTCAGTAGTGTAAGGACTAAGTGTAGGTAAGGACAGCAGAGTTGTGCTCGACTCAAAAAAAAAAAAAAAATCGCCGACTCAACTCATCATTCAACTTCAGAAAGCCCTGACTCAACTCTGACTCAAACAAGGAGCTGATTTTTTCCCTTGAGTCGACTCATGACTCAAGCGTCTGAATGAAAATATGAGTTGACTCAGACTTGACTCAATTTTTATTGAGTCAACTGATTTGACTCAAAATTGACTCAGATAAAAAAGTTGTTGAGCGGGGGGGGGGGGGTGAAAAAATCCAGCAGCAAGGCCACGGCTAAGTTGTTAAGCGGGAGGGGGGATGTTTGACTCAACGCAATGTCAACAGCTATTTTACTGACTCAACTCTGACTCAACTCAACGTCTTAATATTTTTGTCCGACTCAACTCTGACTCAACTCAACAGCCCAACATTTTATCCGACTCGACTCAAATCTGACTCATTTGAGTCAGAGTTGAGTCAAATTTCTGACACGACTCATGAGTCAAGCACAACCCTGAAGGACAGTAGTGTAAGGTCTAAGGAGAAATATAGAGTGGCTATTGGCTAATGCGTATTGCTCTCTTCGTCGCGGATTCTTTGATTTGCACTTTGGTATTTTCTTGCCTCGCTTTCGAATATGTGCTCGACTTGTAAGCAGAATGTAGCTAGTCCTTCCGATAATGTTTAAGTTTGGTTGTTTATACTTACATATAGCTAGTTGAAAAGTTTATTCGAAAGGACATCTTGGAATCGTTTCCTATATATTAGCGTCATTTTCTCTAATAACGCATTGTTATCGAGTTCCATCTCTATAGACTGTGTATTTGATAACCTGTCTTTTCAACTGACGCCTCCTAAATTTGCCTGTTCGCCAGACTATTCGAGCGGCTTTGGTGGCAAGTTTGGCGTTCAGAAGGACCGACAGGACAAGTCGGCAGCCGGCTGGGATCACCTGGAGACCGTCGACAAACATGAGAGCCAAAAAGGTACGCTCCCGAGCACTACGTGCGTGTCACCTCAATTGCGTTACTCTGTCTGAATGGCGTGTTTGTAACGTGTTCGCTGTTATTGGTAATTCAATCTGTGATTGTATGACTTCCGTGCTTTGATCTTGCTGTAAACCTTTGTGAAACCTTCAGCAGTTTTTTATTGTGTTCCTTACTTCGTTCTTTTGGCGACGAAATGCAACGCTGTTTCTTTTTATACGTATATTTTTATACTGACTTCGTCTGTTGTGTACAGACTACAAGACCGGCTTTGGCGGCAAGTTCGGCGTTCAAACGGACCGCCAGGATAAGTCTGCCGCCGGCTGGGACCACATCGAGAAAGTGGAGAAACACGAGAGCCAAAAGGATTACGCTAAGGTGAGTCACAACTCTGGCACTTTGAAACTTCTCTGAGACTAGCACGATTGAATCGTTTCTTTTCGTTGTAATAAATCTGGCATCGGTGTTTATGATATTCTATGTTTGATTTTAGAACTCGCATTGCCTTCGTCTTCATCGTTTTTCACACTTCTCGCTGTTCACAGGGCTTCGGTGGCAAGTTCGGCGTCCAGTCGGACAGACAGGACAAGTCGGCCCACGGGTTCGGTGAGGGTGGCGAGGAGCGTGTCGGCACCAACTACCAGCCCACCAAGCCGGACAAGGGTAAGCCGTCGGGTCTGTTTGGTACTGTCAGTCACTGAGACCCATTAACATCATTGTTAATTGCTGCAAATGTTATATTCAATGCAAAATAAAGATTGGCCCTCTGCTCAACTAGCTTCTAATGCTTATGCTTTTGATTGTCATATGACACTTTACCTTTATATAAAGGAAATAAGAGCTCGTTCGCGGTTCAGTTGATCTGTATAACTATCAATCGCTTACCTATCTGTCCTCACAGACGTGGGCGGTTCGGTGAAGGCCTCCAACCTGCGCTCTCGGTTCGAGAACATGGCCCGTCAGAGTGAGACCGAGGCCGCCCAGCGTGCGGAGGAGGAGCGTCAGCGCCGCCAGCAGCGCGACGCCCAGGAGAAGGAGCGCGCCGCCGAGCAGGAGCGCTCCAGGAGGGAGCAGCTGCGCCAGGAGGAGGAGCGCAAACAGGCGCTCCTCAAGGAGGGCGAGGAGCAGGCGGCGACCGCGGCGGCGCTCAGGGAAAAAGCGGAGGAAGAGAGGCGAAAGGCGGAGGCGGAGGCGGCTGCTGAGAAGGACAGACGAGAGGCGGCCGCTGCTGAAGAGAGGCAGCGGGCGGCTGCAGAGGCGGCGGAACGGCAGAAGGCGGAGACTGAGAGACAGAAGGCGGAGTCTGAGAAGGCTGCTGCGGCGGCGGCCGAGGCGGAAAGAGCGCGGAAGGCAGAGGAGGAGAGAGCACGGCGGGAGGAGGCAGAGCGGAGGGAGCGGGAGCAGCAGCGGCTGCAGGAGGAGGAGGCTGCACGCCGCGCCGCCGAGGAGCAGGCGGCCAGGAGGCAGCGCGAGGAGCAGGAGGCGGCGCGCAGGAAACAGCAGCAGGAGGAGGAGAGGATGAAGCAGGAATCGCTGGCGCAGCTGGAGGAGGCGCAGCGGAACGCCGAGGAGGAGCTGCAGAGGATGAGGGACCAGCAGGCCGCGGTAAGTCGCGACAAAGGGCGTACTAGATCCGTCAGAGTTCATTATCAGCTGACAGAGAAAGTTATGGTAGACAGAGTTCAATCACGGCAAACGAGAGATAGTTCTGGATGACATTGGTTAGTCTCATTAAGCAGGTCCTTTCCGGCCGAGTTTAGTGACGGCGGTGGAAAAGAGCACTGCTTCACCTGCACTGATCCGTGACGTAGCCTTATGCTATCGTCTTCCATCAACCTGCAGTGGTTAACAAAGATTGCATAGAAGTATATCCTGCTGTGTTACTTTCAACTGACCTGACGTCCTTTTGATCGACAGGAGGTTGGCATCCCTCAGACTGGAGTGTCGGCGCGGGCGCTGTACGACTACCAGGCCGGTAAGTTCACAGCCCGGCCGAGTCTCTATAAATTTGCACATATGTATGTAAATGTAAATGAACCTACGCAATACGCATATAGCTCATACGGTATTCATCAGGATGCATTATGCTGACAAAACATCTTGTTTTAATGTTTCGATTTTTTTAGGATCGGTAATGAATAATGATAGTCTCGGAATATGTCAAGATAGATAGTCACAGTCCGGCATTCAAGGACATGTTTACATTGTGATTTTATTTTAGAAACTCACGAAAGTAACGAATATGTCTGCGTATGATGGTGAATTGAAATTAGTTTTGAGTTTGTGGCTGACCCGAAAATGTGTGCTCCTCAGCCGATGACGACGAGCTTACCTTCGATCCGGATGAGGTCATCACCAATATCGATAAGGTACGTCTGTGCGCAGCTAACTGCGCCCTTCTAGCGAAATTTCGCTTACCTTGCTAGTTTGGAGCCGTAAGTTTGGATGTGTGGTGGTTTTATAATTGTTTTAAGCATTGACTTTTAGCACCGCTATCTCACATGTTTTTCGTTTCGTGTAGCCAATGACTGCTGTTGAAACTTGGAATACGGACGTAAGAATTCACACAAGCATGGAACACACCGTCTCCGTGGATTGCTTTGACGTCCTAAATGACGGCAATTTGTGGAGTTGCGGCAACTGACGCCCTGATCACCGAGTGTAGCTTGCGCTGGGAGGCAATCTGGACGTCCACATTTGGGGATGATGGGGAGAGGCACTCGGGGATGATGTTCATCCTGTCCAGTGTCCACCATTACTGACGATCACCGTGCCCTGTTTCAGATCGACGACGGCTGGTGGCGCGGGGAGTGCCGCGGCATGTACGGCCTCTTCCCGGCCAACTACGTCGAGCTTCTGTAGACGACGGGGCCTGTGTCCGCTCACAAAACAGCCCGCTCAGTTTATACACAGTCCTGGGTGAGCCACCGCAACGAAATACCGGCCGCCACACCGGACCGGTAGGCATTTGTTATGTATCGGTAGTGTATATTTTGTATTGTGTATGCGTGACGTATCAATGGCTTCACTGATATCGCTTTCTATGCCATAGAACAGAAGAGACTGTTCCCATAAAAGCTTCCAAGCTTGAGATGAGAGGTGTGGTAATCTTCTTGCGAGGCGGGCTTGGCCCTCAAGGTGTTGTCTAGATCTTGCCTAATTATCGTGGTTAGTGGATGAGATTTTTCGCCGCGCTCAAGTATCCAGTCTGGATAGAATGAATCATTGATGAGTGTTTGAGAGCTTTATTCCTAATTTTTCTAGTGTGAAACTATCTGTGACGATATGATCGAGGAACAACCTTAGCCGTCATATGACACGATCACAACCGAGACGAGGCGGTGAAATAGAACAACTGATTGTTATTTCTCTAAATATTCGTACAGGCATCGTGAATTCGTAATGTTTACAATCAAGCGATGGAACTGAATACGCGACGACGCACTTTTGAATGGTTGGCACAGGGTGTTACCAACAATGGGCTTTCGCGATTTTTCATGCCGAACTTCGGGTTATTTCGGGCCTCGAAACGTGCGAATTGAACCGTGTGTAACAGACGCTGTCAACACGCATTCATCTTGTCAATTGACCGGCGTTGATTACGGCTCTGAAGTGCTGTTCTGTGCTACCGCTGGCTTTGATACTCGGCGCGGCGAGTGTAATTGTGCCTGATCAGGGCCAACCGCGGAAACCCGTTCACTGTCAGAGCCAGCGAGCGGCGCCGGGGCCAGAACTTTGTCATCATCGTTTTACCACGCATCGATTATTATTTAATAATAAACAATCTGCCCCACACGGGTCAATAGAGTCGTGTTCTGTGGGGAACAGAAATGGACACAGTGGCTATTCACTGTCCGGACTAGGTTAGTGGTTTCCTTTCATTTATTCGCTCACCACATGCATTATCAAGTATACACAGCCATATAGCCACTATTTAATCGGTAGGCATATGAATGGCCGCAACACACAAATTAGCGCAAATGCTGATTATACCAGTGAATTGGCAATACCACGCAGCATCGTCATTAGACCCGATGCACCGTGACACTACGCTACACTGCAACCGCAAACACCCGCGGCATCGCGTATTGCAACTATCCGTACGGCCGTATCTGCCTCTAAAGCAGTGGTCGGCAGGTCAATCGCGGTTGCGCCCCCTTTTTAGGCGCCAGGCAGGGCCATTACCCCCACCTACCAGACCCCATTGCTGACACAACCAAGTTTACTGAAATTCCATACCTTTCTGGAACTCTTTGGGTATTTCTGCATTTCCGATGCATCAAATTTAAAACATGACACTTCCTCCACAAAGCATTTAATCCCATCCCATTGTATATCCCATTTAACCCTCGTACATATAGGGGCGGCGGGTGGTTTTTCGTTAAAAGCTCACGTAAAAGCCGTTGGATCACGACCAAATTGTACCCTCGAGCCAATCATTTTTTCTTTACCTGCCCGGGAAAACCTGAGGCCAGTTTAACCAACAGAAAAATAGCCGCCTGCCGTAGTATTTGCCTAAAAACCGCTTCGCATGACGAGTTTGCAAGTGGATAGGGCTTTACCGTTTACGCTCCGTATGTGAATTGTTCTTTAGGCGAAAAATTCCGGCAGGCGGCTATTTTTCTGTCGGTAAAAATGACCTCTGGACCCATAATGACCGTTGGCTTATGAGCTTTTTCTGGAGATCATCTTGAGCCATAAAATCTCACTTCAAGAAGTTATAGCGGGTCCCTATTTTCTCAACACTTGTCTTTGACCTCCTGAATGAGACGAAATGACCAAGGACCTTAAAAATGGGCAGCAGCGGCTTCCTATAGTCACGGGTAGTACGATCGTTTTCTATGCACAGCTCCATCTCAGAGTCCGAGAGGCCGCGGGGGTCCGATCGACTCCTCCCCCTTACGTTAGCGGCTGTGGAAACGCCAACAGACGGGCGACAGATAAAAATTGCAGCTGCTTTTGTACGACTGTACGGAGCCGCGGTGAGATGGTGAGGCGAGCGAGCAGCTACGTGAAAAATTGGTATCTAATCAATGTGTGCTGAGCCTTTGACCTGGGCTAATCTTTGAACCCTGGGATGCAACAGTCACGATGGTTGGTTCCATCAATGGAGCCAGTAGCCACTAACTCTAAAAAGATAGATTTTCTCAGAATCCCTCATTACCCCCACCGAAAGGGCTCCATTACCCCCAAAGGGGGCATGCCCCACCATTTGCCGACCCCTGCTCTAAAGGACTCCCAGGTGTCATGATTGCCATGACTAAGAATCCGTCTAGCATACAGCGCACAGGCATGTCACGGCAATGTGACAGAATAGCCGTGCATAGCTAGAATAGCCGTGAATAGCCATGGGCCTGCTGTTAGTTCAATGCCAGGAGCAAGAACCATCCTCAGATCCTGGTTGTCACATTATCGAACGCGAGAATCGGAGTCGCCCAGCTATCATTTACCATGAGTCTCTCGACTAGTGAATAAACGCGATTTCATTGACGATCCATTTCCAGATCATCCCTGACCAGCTAACGGGTCACAAGTTTCACGCGGCACACCAGCCGCAGTGCCGACCGATCACCACATTAGCAGAGTCAATACATCCCTCACACAGAGTCCTCAGTCGGGTCGGCTGTTGGCGGGCTGCTTCCTCCCGCTCACGCCGCCGAGGTATCCCCCGCAACTTCAGCGCGTCGCTTCTTCAAGACGTTCTTGATAAAGAACTCTCCCGCTTTGTAAGAGCTGCGAACCAGCGGTCCGCTCGCCACGTAAAGGAAGCCGAGTCGCTCGCCGACCTCTCGCCAGTGGTCGAAGCGCTCTGGGGTCACGTACTCGACCACCTTCAGGTGTCGCTTGGTGGGCTGCATGTACTGACCGAGCGTCACACAGTCTACGCCGGCGGCGCGCAGGTCTGCCGGGGAGACGGGGATGACGGTCAAATGGCGGGCTGTGGTGAGCAAGGACGAGGACGGTTTAGCAATGATTGATGACAGCTCATCTTACTGAAAACGATTGCTTGGGTAGGTATACCGTAAACAGCTGTCAGAGGTCGAATAGTACAGCACCTGGGGTCCACAAATTAACTTGTCAGCTGTCATTTACCCACAGATAGCTGTCACGCAAAACAATAAGTTACGTTACACACAATGCGTCATTCTTTCGTCTCGCAGCCGTACCTTCCATGGTCTGTCGGATCTCGTCGTCTGTTTCGCCGAGGCCGAGCATGATGGACGATTTGGTGACCAGCTCTGGTCGGAGCCGCTTGGCGTGTTCCAACACAGTCAGTGACTGCCTGCGAGCGCCGGACACGGTAGAATGAGAATCGGCGAGATACAACACACGAGTACGTTCTACATGCCATCGAATAGCGCAGCACCCCGGTACGCCCGAGCCGAATGAGGAGACAAGCAGCGATGGGATAAGATGGCTGTCTGGAAGACAAACAGTTCTTCACGTCCATAGTGGTGATCACTGACACTGAATGACCGGTCGAAAACCTAACATTCTGAGTAAGTACGGGGCACTGAATGAACACCTGAACTCAGTAAGTCAAGCGAGCGAGCAATAGGCTGCAGGTCCACAATTATACCTAAACGGTGGCCGTTAGCACCGCCACAAGTGACTTATGTACTCTCTTCCTGACCTGTACTTGGCCCGCCGGTCGCGGACGGCCGGTGTCAGCCGCTCCACCGTCTCTATGTTGTGTGCGAACACGTCCAGACCGCAGTGAACCACCGTGGCCACGCAGTCCAGGTCGCCCTGGAAGTCGCCGGCTAGGCACTCGACCAAGATGGCGGCATTCCTGGCGGTGGAAGGTCGAGTGATTAACACAGGCAGAGGACAGAGCGAGGACGGAAACCGGACTCTGTGGAGATGGGGTAATGGAAAAGACACAAATCGGTGATGAGTGCACATGAATAGCTGCATGACTCATGAGTGAGGTATTGGTGTAGATCGGCAGGAACGGGGCTCAGTTTTGCGTGATACGTAACAGCATATCTCAGGTGGTGGAAAGAACGATAAATGCCATACCAGACGTTTTCTATCAAGCATCTATAAGTTGCATATTGTAAATGAAAGGTGTAAAAATGTGTCAGCAATGCATTTGTACAGCTTACCTAGTAGTACAGACACTTTCAAGCCATTACTCAAATACACATCCATGAGACGCACCTGCGTTTGATTTCGGCGGCCGTTTTGGCGAAGTGGGCGGCACCGCCGTCGGGCAGGTCGTCTCGATCCACGCTGGTGAGTACCACATAGTCGAGTCCCCAGCTGGCCACCGCTGCCGCTGTGTTCTCCGGCTCCAGAGGGTCCGGAGGTGGCGGTGCACGTGACGTTTTCACAGAGCAGAAGCGACAGCCGCGAGTACAAGTGTCACCGAGCACCTGTGGTAACGGAGGTTCACCGCCGGATGGTCACTACATCGTCATGAAATCGACACTGTTCAGTTCTCACCGACATATACGAGACTGGTAAACCAGTGACACAACCAACACAGAGACACCCACACAGAGACACATTCAGAGAGGAAGCCTCAACAGTGACACACCCGCACCGACATCGAAGACGAACCAAACAGACAAGACAGCCCAATACATGACAGTAAAGTCTCGCTCTGATGACACGTGTTACTCAGCATTGGTTATTTAGGGTTTATGCCCGGGAAACGAATAATGCGTGTGTATCCGCAACAAAGGGGCCAAATAGGTCAATAAACCGTCAGGCAGTTCAAATAAAAATAGCTCCGCTGAATTACACAATCACTCTGGTACGTAAAAGGGGTTGTAATGCGAAAAAGATCAACACGCTCTGGTATGCCGACTTACCATGATGGTGGCGGTAGCGGTGGCGTCCTCACCGCCACCCCAGCACTCGCCGATATTCGGACACTTAGCCTCCTCACATACGGTGTGCAGGTTCAGGCCGCGCAGCGTATCTTTCAGCTTAGTGTAGTTCTTCCCTGTCAGAAACAAAATACATACGTTTAGGGGACATACCCACGACCTTCTTCAGTTCTTTGATTGTTTCCGGCTCCGATTCCATCACGCGATCCAAAGCTTGGGTCCAGAACGGGAAATCCAGGCAGGACAGGTCGGGACTGTATGCGGGCCAGTGCAGATGGCACTTCCGCGCGAGATCGCTGAACTTCGATCGAGGGAGGCCATGGCAGAATTAGGATCTTCAATACCTTTCCAATGGACATTTTAAACTCTTCGCACGCCTGCCGAGCATGAGCTGTGGCATTTTTCCGGAAGAAATCCTTGACCTGTTCCATTTCACCAGGGGTCATCGGCTGGCGCCCGGAGCGCACACATGGCCGTGTCGCTGCAACCATCCTAAATCCTTCCACCAAACGCTGAAAAGCATTCAGATGTGGTATTGCTGCTGGTTTTCTCGGAGAGAACTTAAGGCGGAAAGCCCGCCTAACCACGGTAAGACTTTCCAACCCGGCACACTTCTCCACAACCCAACCCGCTTGTTCATAATTGAACGGCGAGTTTGTCTTGAAGTGCCGATTTGGGCTCTTCGAAACCAGAGCCATTCACAAGCGTTTGGATGACGCCGTGATTTAAGTTAGGTATAATGTATTAAAAAATGATAAGGCCTATGCTTCATATTTACAAGGCAAAAAATGCGCGTACGTGATTTATTGTTATCACGTGACGTAGCTACTTTATTCCATTCATTAATGAACACCCGGTACATCGGGAGGTATCGCGGCATTAGCCATCGAAGCTAGCATAATATCCAATTCAAATCGATATACACAGACAGAGCACGAAGCTATAAAATTACGAAATAGGATATCGATAAGAAACAAACTATCACATACGGTTTTTACACAGTAGCTACAAATCTCACACTCAGATCAAATATTTCATCAAAACGTACAATTCACGAGTGGTGACACACTGCCGGTCAAGGTAGCGCCACCCGCTCATTCCCCGCCAGCTAAACCCTGCTCTCACCAATAGGTATCTCCGTTTTGAGCCAGGGCGGCAGCCGGAGTCTGCCCCGCTCGCCGGGCTGTCGCCGCAGCTGGCCCGAGTAGCTGCTCCACGTGCTGCCGGCGGGCACCTCCCCGGAGAGGAACTCCTCCAGGCCGGGCCCCGTGCGCGGGTCGGCAGCCGCTCGGCCGGCACTGGACCGCTCGGCGGTTCCCTCGCCATCAGATGCACTGGCTGTCTTAGTAGAGGACTGTAGGGATGACTGTGACACAAAGAGCAACAAACCCCATCACCATACAACATGTGTGAGACTTCCATAGAGTCCACAGATGAATGAGTAAAGGATTTTTTTAAGTCAGCATCAACAAATTATGTAGGTACTAGGTACACAGATGAAGACTAGCTGGAGCCTGCCAAGCCAAGACCAAGATGAGTGACAGGGAAAAGTTCAACAACCTAGGTGCAAGGTAAGTAAAGTCATCAAATATGATCACTAACTGCAGGTTGTACACTGATGAAGACATTTCTCATGCACTGCTAATGCTCAGTAGAACAGTCCATTACATTAACATGATTTTAGAAATCAATGTCAATAAATACCTAACCTACACCTATCTTAACCATTCCACTACAGTATTTATATGTATATGACAAGACTCCACATTGCCTACCTGAGCCCAGATTCTGAAGTTGTTTCTGGTACACCCTCTAAGTTGAGATTTAAAAACAATCATGATGTCACTTTATTGAAGTCACTTGTTCATTTCGCCTCTGAAAAAAGAAAGAAGAAACAATGTTGACAATTTTGATCATCTACCAACATCAATTTTTATTAATTTCTGCAGCATTTATAGTGTTGGACTTGGCTGAACCAGCACAAACATTGTCAGAGATCTAGCCCTAGGACCTAGGTATATATAACCTTGCTCTAGTTTGCCTTACTTAGCACTGCCTAACCTAACTGAACACTTCCTGGCCTTAATCAGGCAAACCAAAAATGCTTTTTGAAATGTGGAAGAGTCCAGCTCATGCTTCAATCTTTATTGCTGAGACTTGCATTACAGCTGAACACAAAACTGGTCTTACTTCACTGCTGATCCAAATGACACTCATATTACTTATTAGAGAAAGACAAGCTTGATATCCAACTCCAGTCTCCAGCATTGCAGGCCCGGAGTCAGTCGAAAAAGGTGGAAGCATGGTGCCTGCTTAACTTGAACTACCTTTAAGTACTAGTGTTGATGCCTGCACATGTACGGCAGCCACCGAACCCCATTCCAAGATTAAGTATTTCATCCTAAAGCTGATCAGCAGCTGGGGGACATGCTTGGGAGATCCTAGCCAAGGCTATATATTTTAGCCCAAAATCAAATGAGCCAGTTGCTCAAATCAAAATGAATTACATACTTATACTTATACTTATAAAATGCGGAATTTAGGAAGGCCTTTTGGCCTCTTGGATCCGCACGTGACGAGCTTTGTGTCAGTGTGTCACTGCATCAGTCGTTGGAATGTATGGTGTACTTGGCGTGAGCCCAGTGTTCGTCAAGCCTGGCCTTGAAGCTATTGACTGAGGGCGCATCGACGACAGCGGATGGCAGAGAGTTCCAGTCGTTCAGGACTCGTATGCTGAAGGCGTTCCGCCGCACTCTGGAGACAGCTCTTGGCTTGGACAGCTTCCACTCATGCCCTCGAGTTCTGGTCGTCGTCGCCGCAGTGAAGAACTGAGATGGGTCAACATCCACTCCCCGTCGAAGCACCTGGTAAACCGAGATCATGTCGCCTCGTCGGCGCCGATAGTAGAGCGATGGCAAATTCAGGCTCCGGAGTCTCTCCTCGTATGGCAGGTGGCGGATGCTGGCAACCAGTCTCGTGGCCCGTCGCTGTACCCGTTCAATGCGCTTCTGGTCTTCTCGGTTGAAGGGTCCCCAGACCGCGTTGGCGTATTCGAGATGGGGGCGAACCATGGTCCGGAAGAGTGTTGGAAGCGTAGTCTCATCAATTACTCCGAAGGATCGACGAATGACTGTCAGAATGTGTGACGCTTTGGCCACGACTGCGGCAGCCTGTTCCCGGAACTTGAGCTGGTTGTCTATCTTGACCCCCAGGTCCTTTTCCACCAACGTCTGATCTAACAGAGTGTCTCCCATACGGTACAGGTGATTGACGTTTCGAGGACCTAGGTGAAGAGACTTGCACTTCGACTGATTAAAAGGAAGTTGCCATTTCTCAGACCATCCGAGCAGGGCATCGAGGTCTCGTTGCAAAGCCTCCGACTCTGAAGCCTGGCCGACACTTCTGTACAGCTTCGTGTCGTCTGCGAATAACTTTAGCCCTGACGAGACACAAGCGGGCAGGTCATTGACAAAGACCAGGAACAGCAACGGGCCCAGGACCGTTCCCTGTGGTACGCCACTGGTGACAGGAACCCAGTCTTACTTTGCCCCATTTATCGACACACGCTGCTGTCGGTCAGTCAAGAAGGCCCTTATCCATTCGAGCAGCCGACCCCTAATGCCGCAGGATTGGAGCTTCAATAACAGGCGCTGGTGAGGCACAGAATTAAACGCCTTACTAAAGTCCAGGTACAGGGCATCCACAGGGTCACCTTCCTCCAGTGCACGGGTCCAGTCTTCGACAGTTTCGAGAAGCTGAGTGGAGCACGACCTCTTCTGTCTGAAGCCATGTTGCAGGTTGCTCAGCTGTTCCGTCTCGATCAAGTAGGACATCATCTGGTCACGGACCAATGACTCGAGGACCTTGCATGGGACGGCTGTCAACGTCACTGGTCGGTAGTTTGCAGGACTGTCCTTCACTCCCTTCTTGAAGATAGGGATGATCTCATCGTTGCGCCAGTCACTTGGTAAGGAGGAGTTGTCCAGAGAAGAACGAAAGAGACGCGCCCATGGCTCTGCCATAACCAAGGCCGTTTCCCGAAGGATGCGCGGGTGGAGTCCGTCTGGTCCCGGTGAGCTGTCTATCTTGAGTTTCAGCAACTTCTCCCTGACCGCGCCAGTGCTGATGTCAATGTTGTCCAGCAGGGGGCCAGGGTAAACAGGTGGTGGTGCTGGCAGGACGGGGTCCTCGACCGTAAATACACTCTGGAAGAAGTGATTGAGCAAGTTGGCTTTGTCGCGGTCCTCCCGAACCATCGTCCCGTCTTCAGCCTTCAAGTCCTCCACTCTTGTCTTGGTCCGCAGTCGAGTGCCTGCATAACGCCAGAAACCTTTGGCGTTCGTACGCAGATTCCTCACCAGATGTCTCTCGAAGTTCGCCCGAAGACTCCGAGTGAGTGACCGAAGCTTGTTGCGTGCACGGCAGAAGCGGGCATAATCAAGCATATCTCTGGTTCGCATGTACTGTAACCACAGTGACCGTTTTTGCTTCTTTAGCCGAATGGCTTCGTGGTTGATGTAGATATTCTTATTATTTTGTTTGGACTTGGCAAGGGGTATACAAGTGGTCAAGTGCTCGGACAGTTTGGCCTTGATAAAAAGGTACATAGCATGTGTGTCCTGTGAAGTACTTGTTGGCCACTCTACATCAGACATGAGTTGGTTTAAGAGTGTGTAGTTGCCCTTGCTGAGATTGAGGTGTGGCTCCAATGGCTCAGTGGGAGGACAGTAGCATTCCACTTGGAACTGAAGCATGATATGGTCACTTGTGCCCAGGCCAGGCAAGTATTCCAGGTTCTTAACCATCGCCTCTTCAGAAGACAATATTAGATCAAGGGTATGAGGTGTTTCGCCAAGTCTGAATCTGGTAGGTCTGTCAACATGCTGGTACAGAAATGAGTCGTTCAACAGGTCAACAAACCCATGTGAACAGTGTGAGGGAGGTGCTGAAGAAAGATCCACTTGCCAGTTGATTTGCGGCAGATTGAAATCACCTCCAATAACCACATGTGTGTATCTAGAGTTGGTAGCCTGCTTGAATAAAGATCCAATCTTGTTTAGATCTTCTTCGGCAGAACCAGAGGGGCTTCGATAAATACAGCCAAGTAGAAGGACATCAGAGCTAGCCAGCGGCATTTCTATCCAAAGCTGCTCTCTGAATGTTGAATCCTTAAAAACAACTTCAGATACCCGGAGTGATGATTTGGCATAAATGCAGACCCCTCTAATACCACTTGAGCCCAGCTTGGTTTCCGAGGGGTCGAAGTTCAGATACATGACGTAGCCAGGTACAGACAAAAGGGCTGGGGATATTGGGTGAAGTTGGGCTTTAGGTATGACTTCATTAAGTAAGATGAAGTCTGGTTCGTTTCCCGAAATGAACATGCAAAGGTCATCACGTTTCTTCACAAACTGGTCTGCATTTGCATACAGTACCTTGAGACCTTCTTCATATCTCGGTCCTGCCGGCCTGGATTGTCAGCACCTTTCCTGATCCGGGGTCTGACCCGTCTGGGCCGTCCCTGGGGTTGTCAAGGTCTGCCTCTGAGATGTAGCATGTTGCTGGGGTGCTACAGCACCTTGTGGCCTACCCCGAACAAGTTCAGCTTCCACTGTCCGAGTCAGGTCCAGTTTTCTTGTCACAAGCCGACCCTTCCTGATGGTGAGGTTCACTTCACCTGCATCTGTCCTCCTTCGTAGCTCCTCTCGGAGGCGTCTACCCTCTTCCCTCTCTTTCCAGGTAAGGTCAGGTGAAAGGTATACATTTTTCCAGAGATCTGTCGACCGTAGTTGAGGTGCCAGTTTTAGCACATCACTTTTAACCTCAGTGTTTTCAAGTCCCACTATCAACAGTCGTGGCTTCTCCTGACCCGGCTTGCCGACCCTGTATGCCTTTGTTACTCTCACATTGAGATGCATAGCATCGCGGATTACCTCCTTAAACTTTTCTTTGTCTGCTTCCACTCGTTCAGCATACAACTCACTTGTTGGCTCCGGGAGGTTATGCACTACCACATTCAGCTTGCGCTTCTCTTTTTCTAAGAAGTCATCAAAGACACCTGCTATTGCCTTCTCAGTGCAGAGGCTGGTATTCTCCTTCCCTTGGGATGGAATCGCTTCAAACTTTTTGGCTGCTTTTTGCATCACCTCAGCGCTGCCCTTGACAGCCTCTGCGTAGGACGCCCTATCATCCTGGATTTTCTTGAAGGAGTGCTGTAACAGTGTCTCCTGATCCCCGATGAGTTTGGCATGAGCACGCATGACCTTCTCCACCTTTTCCATTCGTTCATTTACATGATCTTTCAGCTGTTTGACACCACTCTGTGTCTCACAGTGCTCGTTGTGACTGTTGGCATCAATCTTTGCAAATGCTGTTTGCATGAAATCAATCAATGCATCAAGCTTTGACTCCAGCTTAGAAAGCCTGTTGTCCTCGTCACTCTTCCCCTTAGTTTTGAGGGCTTGTTTACAGGCAGAACAATGCCAAGATCAAGATAACACCTTGTGCTTCACAAGGGCATTGTAGCACTGCTTTGAAATGCCTTGACACTTAGAATGGAACCAGCGATCACACGTGCAGCACTGTACACCCATTTCCCCATCCTTCACATCAGTGTCACAGATTGGGTTGCTCGGACCACCCTTGCACGAGTTTCTGTCAAAGTTTGGTACATCCGGATCAGGGCTCGTGTTTGAAGACCTTGTGCCCCACAGTTTATAGGCGTCACTACTGAGCCTCCTAATTTTGGGAGCCTCATCCTCTGTGGAATCTGTTGCAAGTGAGCTCAGTTGGGGGGCTCGTGCGACAGCACCAGCCACTTCTTTTATTTTATCTGTCTGGTTTTCCTTGGAGCCTAGCTCAAATATTCCACACGGTTCAGAAATAGCACAGTTCCCTGCCTTACCTCCTTCAGCTCCTTCGGCAACAAAATCATTCACCTCGTTGCCGCCTCCACATTCGCCGCCGCCGGCCTCCACATTTGCATCCGACGGCGTCGATGGCGTCGCTGTAGATCCATTTGCGATCGTCGAATTGAGTGCATTTTCAGTTGCGGTCCGCTGTGGTTTCGACATTGGAGGTGACCTCTGGACTGGCATCTTCGCTCATGAAGATACGCCGAGACAGTTGAAATTGTGTCGTGGGTACCTAACTAATGTGTGCACTGATTGGGTCCTGTGAGAGTGAGAGCTCGATTTGACACGTCCGATCTCCGTGAAAGCGCGAGCCGAAGTCCTAAGACAAACATCTGATAACTCATGTCCAAATTAAAATGCATTACATAAGACAAGCATTTGCAAATCCACTACCTAGGTATGTACTGGGAACTATTTCAATTTACGCATAGGTACCTTGACCTAGTCAGTAAGAAACATAGGTACATTCGCATAGAGACTGATGCTATCCTTTTCCACATCATTTCAATTTTTAAACTACAGGTACAAATGATTTTGCACCTGTAGTACAAAAAATAAAAGCAAATGAAAGTTGTATCTGCCTACCAAGTGTTGAATTGTTTGTATATGTGTTGCACATACGAAGGGGCCTTGATACGAAGCAACACAGGATAAGACCCTACAAGAATTCTATTCAAAAGCATGCGATCAGCATACGCAGACAATGTTTCCATCAACCAATGCTCTGAGCAGTCAAATTTTTACCAATTTGCCTAGCAATTTGCTGCTATTGTTCATAATCATGACTCGTAGAACAAAGGGCTGATGCTTTCATAATGTCTTTAATGCGTTGTTTGTGTCGCTTTTCAATTGCTCTTCTTCATTTATGTAAAGAAATCTTTCATATTTATTCAAAAATTATTATGTTGTAATTTTAAGAAAACGCACCAAAAACATAAATGTTTTTACATGATATTTTGATGAGCAGATCTGTCAGATTCCAAAGATCTCTGCAAATGCGAGGATACGTTGTTTCATTTTGATGATCATAGAGCAAGGCTAAATTGATGTAACTGTGGATATTTGCAACAGTTGGTGCAAAATATTTTTAACGTTTTAATTCTGAAAATCATTAGTCTCATATCCTTCCTTCACTAAATAAAAGAAGGCGACCATCTAACTCTACGACTCTACAAGACTAAAAGATGATTAAAAGTAGCAGGTCTATTTAGTGCGCACTTAAAAATTTGATTTTTATTTGCTTACGAATTTCGTCAAAGAGTGAGTTTCGCAAATGAATATAATTTAAGATATACTTGTAAGTGAGAAAAGAAGAATACTTTTTTGTAAGTAGCCATATAAATTGGTATCACACTAACCACCACTTCTCGTCCTTTTTCCGGTCGTCGCGAAACGTGTCGGACGTCGTTCCCCATTCCGCCGTAAAATGTCTTCGTAAGTGGTGTAGATACTTATATCTGCCTGTGAATTGTTCTATTTCAGCTAGTAACAATGCTAATATGTACAATGTCAACACATGCTGGCTACCTTTTTTGCCAAACGTCAAGACTTTATTTCAGTTTGCTTTAACATGGAGCAGTAATGGTTTCTTTTGTAGGTGTGATGAGGTGTTAATGCTATGAAATGTAATATTGACTTTATGTTCATTCCAGGAAAGTATCAAGAGACACTCTGTATGAGTGTGTGAATGCTGTGCTGTCGTCAGCACAGGAGAAGAAGAGGAAGTTCCGTGAGACGGTGGAACTCCAGATTGGCCTGAAGAACTATGACCCCCAGAAGGACAAGCGTTTCTCAGGAACTGTCAAGTATGTCTGCCCAAACAAGTTTGGCCAGTGGCCACTTGTTCTGGGAAGTCCTTCGGGGCGGGCCCTCACCCAGGGCCTTAATAATTTTGGGCAGATCTCGCCACCTTAGGGTGATGAGCATCAAACCATGTTGTATGACACAGGTATTCAGCTTTGTCTTGTGCATGTTGTGTCACAATCATGTTTCTTTTCTAGTCCCACCAGCTGTTAAGTTTTTGGTGTGCTTTGTGTTCCATAACAATGGATAAACTTGATTAACCCTAGCCCATGTAGGGGGGGGGGGTTGGTGCAACCCCCCCTGAGGTTTTTCGGAAATAGTGCAAAAACGGCGGCGCGCAGCGCCGCCAAATTTTGGGTACCTTATGGGGCAAACCTTGCGCATCTTTTGATAAAAAATTTGACCGGGTCATGTCAGGTCACGGAGTTATGACGTCACAAAGGGAACAGCCTCCGGCCAGATTTTCACAAACTGAGTGCCAACGCCCGAGGTTTCCTGCCGGTGGTACGGAGATTGGTTGATGGATCGTGATGAAACTTCCCATGCATGTTGGGGCAAGTATTGGCTATCATATGGTATAAGAAACTGGACCGGGTCAGGTCAGGTCACGGAGCTATGGCGTCACAAGAAGAACAGCGTCCGGTACTATTTTTGAAAAGCGCCCGAACCACTATTTTGCTAATTCTTGTCACCTCAATGGGAATATGCAGCAATATTAGCTTCTATAGGGAGCAAATGGACCTCCCAAATCCAAAAATACAATCAGATTTCAAAAATTTAAATTTTGATTATTTGAATTTCTGCCGCCGACTGTGACCTTGCCGACTTCCGGCGCTCCCAACGCGCCATTTTTAGAGCTAGGGAAACAAAATGCATACCAAACGATAGAGAATTGATCAAGGAACTCGATAGTGAAGGTTTCAAGTCGATATCTCCCACCGTTTTGCCGCAATCGCCGCCGAAAGTGGAAAAAGTCTATTTTTCCGAAAATTTGACCTTTGACCGGTCAAAAGTAGGTCAAATGTTGACCTACTTTTGACCGGTCAAAGGTCAAATTTTCGGAAAAATAGACTTTTTTTCAACTTTCGGCGGCGATTGCGGCAAAACGGTGGAAGATATCGACTTGAAACCTTCACTATCGTGTTCCTTGATCAATTCTCTATCGTTTGGTATGTATTTCGTTTCCCTAGCTCTAAAAATGGCGCGTTGGGAGCGCCGGAAGTCGGCAAGGTCACAGTCGGCGGCAGAAATTCGAAAAATCAAAATTTAAATTTTTGAAATCTGATTGTATTTTTGGATTTGGGAGGTCCATTTGCTCCCTATAGAAGCTAATATTGCTGCATATTCCCATTGAGGTGACAAGAATTAGCAAAATAGTGGTTCGGGCGCTTTTCAAAAATAGTACCGGACGCTGTTCCTCTTGTGACGTCATAGCTCCGTGACCTGACCTGACCCGGTCAAGTTTCTTATACCATATGATAGCCAATACTTGCCCCAACATGCATGGGAAGTTTCATCACGATCCATCAACCGATCTCCGTACCACCGGCAGGAAACCTCGGGCGTTGGCACTCAGTTTGTGAAAATCCGGCCGGAGGCTGTTCCCTTTGTGACGTCATAACTCCGTGACCTGACATGACCCGGTCAAATTTTTTTATCAAAAGATGCGCAAGGTTTGCCCCATAAGGTACCCAAAATTTGGCGGCGCTGCGCGCCGCCGTTTTTGCACTACATCCGAAAAACCTCAGGGGGGTTGCACCAACCCCCCCCCCTACATGGGCGAGGGTTAATAAGGAATATGTAGGACTTTCATTTTTTTAAAGAACAGTAGCTTAGGTTACAGTTTTGAAACAGTCTGCTTCAGAAATAGCTTTCTGGTGTCTGCACATTTGGCTATTTTGTCACATTTTATGATTATTTTCAGCTGGTCCTGATAAGGTAGAAGAAACTGAGATATTAAGTTTTTTTGATGAATGTTTTATTTTTTTTTGTCATTCACATGCCCAAATTTTGCATGTCCCACAATATAATAATTGATGGCATAAGGTTTAAATACCTGCTAGCTGCTGTAATTGATTAATAGGTCATTACGGGCCCTAGTGCTCATGAACTAAAGCTTTTCTCAAAATCCTAACAGGTCAATGAAAACTTGCCTAGTAGTGGCTCCTCACCAGAGCTCATGTGGGAAAGTTTGTGATCCTAAAGAGTACACAAGTAGTCCATCTATTTGCTGTGTTGTGTGCTTTACTCAGAAGGTGATACTTATCCATCAGCAGCAGTATTCCTGTTAAAGACTCCTCACGGTTTTGCATTATGCAGTCTTTTTACTGCGCTATGTGGGAAACAACTTGACCTATGTAGACCGCTTGGATCCTGTGCTGGATTTGGAGTCTGCCAGACTGCTGACGCGTATTTTGTTTTTGCAACCAGAGAGGTGCTACCTTGAGAATGCTTGACTGAAAAATTGATTGCACCTCATTGACTACCAGCTGGCTTCATGGCTCAGTGGTTAGTGTGTTGATTGTCTCGTAATCCATAGGTTGCTGGATCGCGACCGATCAACTATAGCGTTTCTGGCCTGGATGCGTTCCTTTGTACCATTTGGCTAGCCGCTAACTTTCGGGAAAGCTATAAAACATTCATGAGTGCTACACTAGGTCGGTCAGGTTTGGGTAGGTTGGAAAGAAGCAAATCTGGGTAGCGCCCCCCCCCCCCCCTTGGCTGCTAAAACGCAATACCCCTGCCGGACGGCAACAGTTCCACGCAACGTCACGAACTTTCTTCGTCGTACGGGCCCAAAATGCCGTTCGATGTCGCACGAACGGCGAAGATTCTACAGAACATCACGTGGAATCTGCACTTTGGATGACTCCGAATCTGACAAATTTTGAACAGGAGATGATCACATAGTAATAACATAGCATGCATTCATTCAGAACAGCTTATATTGCGTGTAGCTCGTGTTTAGCTTGTAGTGTTGCGACCGATCTCCGCTGCAATGGGGTGTTGCTTTTGTTGCACAGGCTGCGCAACATGCCGCGCCCGTCGATGAAGGTGTGCATCCTGGGAGACCAGCTGCACTGTGACGAGGCTCAGGCCAACAACCTGCCTTTCATGGATGTTGAGGCTCTGAAGAAGCTCAACAAGAACAAGAAGCTGGTCAAGAAACTAGGTATGTAGCTCAAATAACTATTTTTGAAAAGCTGCATAGTTATTAAATGCATCTCTACAAAGAATGTGAAAGATGTATGATGAAAATTAATTGACGGTCGTTCCCCACAGCCAAGAAGTACGATGCCTTCCTGGCTTCGGAGTCGATCATCAAGCAGATTCCGCGTATCCTGGGCCCGGGTCTGAACAAGGCCGGCAAGTTCCCCGGCCTGTTGACCCACCAGGACAGCATGACCGGCAAGGTCGACGAGATCAAGAGCACCATCAAGTTCCAGATGAAGAAGGTATGTCCCCGCTGGCTGTGCCTCGTCGGATAGGGTGGGGCGGGGCGACTCCAGTTTATTTTTGCTATAAGTGGCCGGTTGAGAAAAGATATCGGCTTAGCGTAACGGTTTCGACGGAACTTAACTGTAAAACACTTATTAGATCATTCTTAGTAAAGAACGAGGTGTACCCATAACTGCTGCAGCATCGTTGCTGGAAATGAGTACGCCATTACAGAAGCTAATGACGCTGATGTTCGCTCCTTTCAGGTGCTGTGCCTGTCGGTCGTGCTGGGCCACGTGGAGATGACCCCCGACGAGCTGGTGATCAACACCCACATGGCCATCAACTTCCTCGTCTCGCTGCTCAAGAAGCACTGGCAGAACGTGCGCTCGCTGCACGTCAAGTCCACCATGGGACCGCCCCAGCGGCTGTACTAAGCGTGTCTGAGCGGCAATACAAGGTCCGGCGACGTAACACGGTGTGTCAATGAGGATGGGAGGGCGGGCCAACGATGCAATGGGATTTGGAAGTTCGAGTCGTAACCATAACAGTTTATCGATTCTTCCCATGCCTCGTCCATAGGCGTAATGTTAAAATTATGCCGTTTGGGGGGGGGGGGGGCAAATGCCCATTTTTGCCCCCCCCCCCCCCCCTGGATCCGCCACTGAAACTGGGTGGAATGCGAAATTGGAACGGCGGCGTGGCGACACCTAGCTTTCTCCGATATCCACAGCCGGGACGTAGAGGTCGCTACTCTTCCATGCTCAGCTGCATACATAATCTGAGTTTTTTTTTAACAATTCAGGAACATGAGCGTTCGCGAGTAAGTGGCGCCATCAGCTGAATGCTAATGAACCAACTACGAACACGGTGAAAGGTAGCGTGTTGACCTCGGGTCAAAGCCACTAAGGTCACGAAGTTGGTTGAAGGAAGTCAATGCATATCTTTCGACTCGGCAGGTCTTCAGGTGCTAGCAACGCAACACTGCTTTGAACAAAGTGTCTCCACACGATTTGAGGCCCGGACAAGGCGAAAGCGAACTCGCTGTCAGGATTAGGGTCGTACACTGAGACCAATTATCATAAAATGGCGCAGCTGCTGTCCACACATAATTAATGGCAGTAATATCAGAACAAGGTACCGAGATTGCGAGTAATAACAACGGTCATTCAGTACGTTTGGTTACGGACTGCCAACGTCCGCCTCGACGAGTTGAAATGTAGCGCACACATTTTATTGGCACACAAACTATCACATCAGATGGGCGCCAGTAACACAAATTTAAGTCCACTGTTCACCAGCACACAGCGCACATGCATAGACTAGACACATTCGGTAGGATGGATAGTGAACACTTTCTAATGACACATTAGACGCATGCAATCAATGCTACACACTACTGACTACACAGCAACGAAGTAGCAACGGGATCAGTGGCCTCATTTTCGTAAACAGTCCCATTACGTTTGAAACCCGTAATCCCCATCATAAGAATTATTTAATTTTCAAACAACACTTGTTGCAACGTGATATCAAATGTCAAAGCTCAGCTAAGCCCTGCTTTTACCAAGAACAGCCTGCCGTGGTTTTGATTCAGTCTTTTTATCCATAAACTGCGCGCCGGAAGGCCACTGCTTATCACAGTCACTTCCAAACCTTGATCCTACATATGTAACCCCGTTTCCCGGGTCAGCTGTCGTGTACCACGGTGAAATAGTTGGCAAACAGCTCCTCTCCGGCGCGTATGTCGCGCTGTGCGACTAGCACCACGGCCCGCATCGGTGGCGGTACGCGGGCCCGGTACCACGCGTACGGCAGGTACCGGCGGAGCGGGTACGGCACGGCCGGCAGGTCCACCTCCTGGTACCGGACGTTACTCGGAAAACCTGACGAAAAATGACGACGGCTATATAGTTATAGTGACTAACACCTGCAGGACTGATGGTCATGGACGAGCGAAAAATGAAACGAAAATGTAGTGGGTTGAAACGAGGGAAGGAGAACGTCTGTTGAAGTCTTATGTGCATGGTCGTTGATCATCGATCATTTGACAGTGCAGAAGCAACACAAAAACAAATGTAGACAATACTCATTTCCTGGCAGTTGCAGTCAATACGGATAGATTTTGTTAGGTATACGGATAGATTTTGTTTGCGCAACGGCAGGATCTCATGAAGTATCGCACAATTTCCATACCTGGTGACTGATTATTGACGAACTGTCCAACGGCCAGCGGGTTGGCAGGCAGCTCGGTGCGCCAGGAGCGGTCGGCCGCCGGGTACGGTCCCATGTGGTCGCGGCCGGCGCACGAGCCGAACAGCAGACCACTCAGGCCGCCGCCGCGACCGTCCACGTGCACGCCGTCGGCGCAGGCGAACACGAACTGGTTGCCGATGGAGGCGAGCAGCAGCGGGTCGCCGGGCAGGTACACGGTACCCGGGTACCAGGCGCACACGGCGCCGGCCGGTACCACGCCGCGGGTCACCACCACGCCGCGGCCAGCGGCCGGTACCGCGCTCCGCTGGCGGCGCACCTCGAACCCCAGTCGGCGCAACAGTAGCTGGCAACAGACAAATTGTTATCTTTACGCCCTAATCCATCAATGCATGCTTCATTCAACATGAGTACACAGTGAGGCCACCTTTGATTGATAATGGCACCATAATGACACAACAACTGAGGCCTCAGTGAAGAACCAATGGCAAATGAATGAGCATCTAATGGTTCTTACCTGATTTGCTTTCTCATGTTGCACATACTGAGTTTCAAATGGTGAAATATTTTCATTCAACAATGTTAAAACTTCAAAAACAGAATCAACTGCCAATTCATGGTGTAAGATGCAATCTTGCTGTGTCTTCAGCTCTTTCTGCATAGATCTGGAAGACAATTATTGCATAATGTATGATGAATCATACTGAAAAACAAGGCTTGACATCACTAAATGGGAGCAAGCAGCAATTAAACGTGAAAGTCAAAAACAGCCATTGAGAGGTGTTGTTACTCTGTGAGCTTACTTTGTCATTGAAAGAATTATTGCAATTGTATTGCATATGAAAAGTAGGTAGGAAAGCCATAAGCCGCAATAACACAGTACATGATTTTTACTGTTGCATGTGTTTCATCAACATGCATGCATGTTTTCCAGCTATCAAGCTCTTGCCACATACTTGTAATTTGGTCAATTATTTGGACATGCTAACTGTGTATGCCTGCCTGCCTATCCACTTACCACTAAGCACCAACCTGTTTTTGAAGTTAAATATCAGCCATGGAACGAAACGGTACTTGTACGACTTCCATTTCTTCAATACCCATTTGATCATGGGCATTTATAATGTGGGTGAAACACAGTAGGTATATAGAAGACTGAAGAACATACTATTCCATTGTCTACAAGTATCAAGATTTTGAAATGTCACAAATCGTCTGTAAGATGATATTTATGTCAGACACTGGTATTCATAAATATGCACATATGAATGGAACTTGGAGCTGAAAAACACAAAGTTCTATCATAATATTTTCCCCATAACTCAAAAATATAAAATGTTTCACTTTCCATACAATGAAAGTTTCAGCATCCATGAGCAGAACAAGCTGAAGTTGAAGTCAAGTAGAGACCTTTTAACCTTAGAGACCTTTTCCTCTTGACCATTTAATCGTCAGACTGAGACGGCAGTATAATTTAAATGGCTATTTTTGCAGCCTACAACCTCATTATCTTGCAAAGTAATGCTATGACAGGATCATTTGAACGCCACAAATTTCTTATTTTATACTGTTCATTGAACTGTATACTGCTCCACAATGCAAGCTATCTATGAATGCAAGCCACAATGCATTTCGAAGAATTTGTGGTCAGCGATATTTTGTATCACCTGCGTTGCAAATGGATTCTACCCGGTCGATTTTTTTCTTATTAGGTTAAGATAATTTAGGAAAATGATAAGATTTATTTCTTTCAAATAATTTAAATACTCATAAAATTAATATTTCGAATAAAATATTATTTCAATAGTATCTTGTGCAGCATAAACAAACATTTTAAAATATTTGTAGCGTGGTTCATTTTTCTGCTGTGAATGTAAACAAACGGCAACAACAAATTATAGTAAATCGGGCAGCCTGAAAAGTCGATTGTGATCGCTTGAATTTCGTGGTTTTCTGGGTTTTCTGTGCTTATCATTTTACCGGCTCTCGGATAGAAGAACCTTGTGCTTGCTGTTTTTAATCCTGACAGCTCAGATAGGACGAAAAAGACCCTATCTAAAGTAATTTAAAGCAAATCAAGTTGAAGTCTCTCCAGAGTGAGAGGATTACGATAGAAGGTAAATTGAAATATTTTCTAAAGCGGGTAAGTTCCAGTTCGAAACAGGACTGGTATCACAGCTTCGACTGAGGGGAATGAATACTCTGGTTATTTTTAGGTCAGGTCAAAGGTCAGGTCACCAGAGGTCATCAAAGGTCAAGGTCAAACTTTGCTTATTGTTATGTCGACCATTTTCGACAAACTGGCGCATAGGTAACTCCAACTCTGGAATCGATAGCGCTACAGCGTCGCGTAAGACAAAGAGCGCATTCGATAGCTTTTAACGCCCGCGCAAGTGTGTGTGTGTGTGGGGGGGGTGCCCCCTCCCCCAGGTAGTCTTTCTGCTCTGCAATCAACATTTTTAGAGCTAGAAGCCTGATTTTTGGTATAGCTGCTTCTCTATCCTTTCTTGATGTCCACTGAAAATGTCAAGTTTCTGTGGTTTTTGGTTTCGGAGATATAACCTTGTTTTTCAGGTCATGTCATGACCCAAATGACCAATCCTCAACAGCTTGCGTTGGCTTTGGGCCTTGTGAGCTTTTGACACCTTGGTCCTTGATTTCGGCCTTTTTTGCCAGTTTTACCTCCCACCTATCATGGAACATGCTGTTCGACGATTACAGATGTCAAGGTCAGGGCCAAGGTCAACCTAGGTCATCTAAAATAATTGCGTTTTAGGCAAGCTGAATTTACTTTTCGTGATTTTTTTTTTTACTGCATTTTTGGTAAAAGCTCAGATGTAATATGGACACATAAACAATCGGTGTACACATCAGTATACACACAGACACACACAGACATACAAACACATATCATTGACCTTGACCTAACTTGACCTGAAATGACCTCAGCAGCAAAAACCTGGTCGGGTAGTGTGACAAAGAGGTTCTAGCTGGCTTGGCACCAGAAAACGGCATCGTCATCGCTACAGGATAAGCAGCGCACTTGATATCCAACGGTGACCCAAAACAGCAACATTTTTTAGCTTGACCTGGCCTGAAATGTCAATAACTGACCTGAGAAGGTAAAACTGGGTATCATTGGATTCGTCTCTTCCCAAAGAATCTTTTTGTTCTTTACCGCGAAGCTCTATCTCCAACAGAAACGAAATGGCGCGGGGGGGGGGGTGGCACCCCCCCCCCCCATGTGGTTCTAGGATGGGAAAATGGCATGTACAGGCGAGGGTTAACGCTGTTTCTTGAGCGAGCCTCCAGATTTGACCTTAGATCAACAGTTTATCTTCCAGATGGAAAACTTATAATACCTAGTTGTCCTTCTTTACGAAAAAATGTTTCTCTGTAGTAGTAGCTTTTGACTCCAGATGGCTACGATATCGCTTTTGCGGGGATCGTTGTTCCTCTCGTCGAGACGTGTCGAATGAAAAATAATTCCGAACCTGTCCTGGGGCGGCAACAGTGTCTAGGCTGTAGTTTACTCGTATGACGTATACCTCCCTGGCGCGGTGGATGTAACTAGTGTGAGGCTGGAAGTGCCGGGCCAGAACACGGCTGGACGATGGGCCTACCATCCGTCAGCGCCGCCTATTCAAGACGCCACCGGCGGTGACACGTCCTCGCTGGGCCGCTGATGAGCTACGGGACGAATCTGCACGCTAGAAGAGGCAATCAGCTCTGCTTGTCCGTGTGCGACGGTGGTCGGCGGTGCGTGATCACTAGTGAGGTGCCACTGGTATGGGACTCTGCTCAGGTGAACAAAACGAACACAGGCCATATCACTTCATGACCGTTTGAAGCAGCTTAGAAGTCCCGGTTAGCACTTAGCTCGGTGCTAACTGCCAAATCCATAACATGTGACGGATCTCAGCAAGATACTTACCTGGACTTTCGCAGACGGATTCGTTGCAGCTTTTGGAACTCCTGTTGCTTCCCACAAACCACAGTGAGAGGTTATTACGGAAAGGAATGCGAAAAAGCTCACGAATGTTTCCTTTGATATCTCTGTTGGTTTGCACAACATATCAGTGCGGGGCGCGGGCTACGGGTGAAGATCCGTACGCGACTTCACGGGCCACGGCATCATTGTGATAGATCACTCAGTAGGTAGATCAACACACTCGACAATAATACACGTTCCCTTTGTTACTTGTAGCGCTGCCAGCATGGTTTTTTAATACGAATATGTTTCCCCTCATGTGGTTGGAATTACCTACGGCTCATTTCTGATTCTCAATGGTCGCGAGTTATGATAAACTTTCCTACAGGTCGGGTCGTGTCTTGTAGTCAGCTGACGTGTAACCACTTTTCAGATCACTCCTGCAGAGCAAAGATGTCGACTCTTCAGATGATGCGTCCCAAGCAGAGTCAGATGACTGGCACGGTGAGTACCGACTCAGTGTGTGCACGACGTACTTACGTGGCAGCGCAATGTTGCATGAACTGCATGTGAGAGGGAGATAAGTTTTATCATCACTGGGTTTCCTAGATCTTTGCGTCTTCTCCGAAGCCGCTCAATAAAAGCGTTGATTTTGTCTTGGATCTCAATGTTCGCATGCGAGAAAGCAATCCGCGAAAAAGCGAGCTTAAAGGGACCCTCCCACCTTCACATTAAATTTGAGTTGAGATAGCCAAAATGGGGTCCCTGGCTCACAATTACCGGTTTCGGCACTCACAACATCGAGAAATGCCTTAACCCGCGACCTGGTGGGGGGGGGGCTATTTTTTGCCCCCCTCCAGACTTTTCGATATATCTCCAGAACCACTGCGTTGATCGTCACTAAACTTTCAGTACCCTCCCGGACATCAATTTTACACATTGTGACCAAAAATTTTTCCAAAGGCTATGATAGGTTGGCCGGAAATGACGTCAGAGTGACGTCATGTTCTGCCGTTTTCGACCCAAAAAAGGGTTTCGCGGGAAGAGCTGTCAGGCCTATAGCTTTGCAAATACAGAAAAATGATACAGACATAAAAGCTGTAGAATGAACAGGGCTACAAAACTGCTATCTCGGATTTTTGAAATTTTTGGATTTTGACCCCCAAAAATCAAAAAATAGATTTTTTGAATATAATAGCCAAAAAATCCAAAAAGTTTTTTGAATTTCGAAACATCCGGAATATATGTGATAGTCCTTACCGCCTTCTATCTACATACCAAATTTGAGATCGATACCTCTTTTTTTGGCCAAGTTATAGCGAAAAAACTGTTCAAAATATTGATGACGTCAAATTTTCAAACTCAATTTTCAGCAATTCTAGACCTCGTAGCGCAAAACAAAGACCACCATTAGACTCCCCGTGACGAGCTGCATCGAATCAATACCCATTTTATGCAAAAATATCAACTTTGAAATTTGACCTTTTTTGACCTGACCTTGACCTGACCTCCATCAGAAAGTGACCTAAACCGTACCTGATGGTCTTATAACCAACACCATTGAGTTGGAAATGAAAAACTGGCCATAAAACATGCATCGCATAACCTTAGTAAAGTTGGGTTCATGTGGTGACCCTTGGTGACCTTTGGTGACCTGACCTGTGACCTGACCTTGTATGACCAGTGACCTCTAACAGCAACATATCTACTAGGCAACTGACGCCCTATCGCTGATTCCCGACAAAATGCGTTTTTCTCGGTGTTATAGCGCATTCCCTAGAAGACCCGTGAACGGTGAAACATTTCATCTTTGACCTGACCTGTGACGTCATCGGTGACCCCGAGGTCAATAAAATTTGGTTTCCTTCGACAAATTTGACAGGCCTTTCGAACACCGTTTGAATTTTTCGGATCCGTCCAGTAGTTTCGGAGATACGAGGGGGGGGGGGCAAAAATAGCCCCTCCCCCCCCCCCCACCAGGTCGCGTTATAAACAGACCCCACCAGGGCGCGGGTTAAATCGGAAATATTGAATTTCAAAATTGCAGCATTTTGATTCAGAGGGGCTAATGCATAGGAATACCCCTCTGAATGTGTGACGTCAGCGCAGATATCTAACAATTTTTAACCCGCGCACCGACGGGGGTCTGCGCCAACTTAGTACCGACGGGGGGGGGGGGGGGCGGATGACCGCCCCCACCCCCTGAGATCTCGAGAACGAAGCAAGATAGCGACAAGCGGTAAACGGCATCGGATACGCACGGTCAAGATCTACAATTTTTACTAAGGTCATTTTCAGGTCAGGTCAAAGATGACGTCACAGGGGTCGAAAAAGTCAAAATGGCGGCGCTAAATATGGAGAGTTTTTCTCGAATAACTTTCGAATTAGTCAAGATAGGAACAAACTAAGGGCATCATCGTGATCCTCTCGTCAATCCGCATCGAATGATATATATGTTGACCTCGAAAGGTCAAGGTCAAAGGTTGACCTCAGGTCACGTGACCTCGAGGTCATCATGTATATCATTCGATGCGTCTTGACGAGCTGAACACAATGAGACCATCCACGCGTCTGTATCTTGTTCCTGTACGGAGTTATTGGCCAAAAACCTTTGGTGACCTTTGATGACGTCACATGACCTCACAGCTGCCCAACAG